GAGTGAAGACAACGAGACTGCACTCTAATTCAATATGCTTTTTCTTTTTCTTTCACACTTTTTTTCAGGTTTTAGGGGACCTATAAATAGAGCCACAACAAAAGGTAAGGCAATAATAAAGCTCTTAACTCCCTCTTTTCATCACCAGTTATTCCCTCCTTGCTTCTGCAATGGGCATTGGAAGGTTACGCTCATGCATGCCTGGCCCTTCTTGGGGAAAGATTTTCTCTTTAGTGATTTATTAAAGATGAAGTGCCATCAACCACCTGCCCGTCCATAGCTTACAGCGATTTGGAATCCCTGGGTATGTGTTTGTCTTGGTCTAATGATCCCTAAAGGAATTTATGATACACAATCAACATTCTGTTTATTTCTATTTTCACACACTGACTGAACATCTAGCTGCTCAGCAGTGTGTGAACTATCTGAGCTCAAAGTACAGCACTTGCTGGGTTTATTTGCAGATGTATTGCCAGGAATATCTGCTCAGGGCAGCACCATGGTAGACTTGTGCCTAAAAGCAAGGAGAGGAAGAAAAAGGCAAAACAAAACTGCATTTGAACTAAAGGGGAGCAGCCCCACAGGACGGATCCTAAGAAACGCAGAGAAGTTCCACACTCAGGAGTGGGGACACATTGGTTTCTACTTACCTACACTCCAAGCCCAACTCACAAGAAATCCTGAAGGTTCTACCCTCAAATTACATATCCAAAAGCATGCCATTCCTCACCACCTCAGCCACCGCCACACTGTTGCAAGCCAATCATCTGTCATCTGGATTGTGCAGGTCATCCTCTTGTCTGATCTCCAAATGGCAGCCAGACTATCCCTTTAAAATGGAACTGGGATGATGTCACTTTTCCACTCAAAACCATTCATATAGCTCTCGAACTGAGAGCAAAACCCAAAGATGAGTCTTTTGGCCTATCTCTGTGGTCTGTCTCACCTCCCAAATAACTGACCTTATCTCCAACTACTCCCACTCACTGTGTGGCACCCACACTGGCTTTCTTAGGCCTTTCACCTTAGGCCTTTGCATTGGCCTCTCCTTCTGTCTGGAATGTTCTTTCCCAGATAAGTACAAAGTTAGCTCCTCCGCCTTCTTCAAATCTTCACTCAAATGTCATTCTCACGGAGAACCACCCACCCTATCCATGCTTTTAAAAATTGGCACCTGCCTGCCATTCCAGTCTTCTTTTCCTGCTCTACCTCTTCTCTGTAGAGAAAAAAGAAAATGTACCATTTTACAACATACGTTTTACTTATCTATGGCTTATTGTCTACCCTGTCACATTCCAACATATCACTCCCTCCACTGTAAGTGTAAGCTCCACGGGGGTGGGATCTTTTTGTATTCACTGATGTATCTGTTATTTAAAATAGTGCCTGACACATAGTAGGCAATCAATAAATATACATTAAATAAATTCATCAATGCCTATCAAGTTGACACCACACACACACACACACACACACGAAAAGGTAAAGAACAGATCGCTCTCAGGGATGCTCCCAGGGCAGGGAATAAGGGAGGAACAAGCTGGCATTCATTGGCCATCTATTATGTGATAAGCGCTGTGCTTGATATCTTACATGCTATCTCACATAATCCACCCAATGACTTGCATGGTAGGTATTATTATCCTCTCCTTACAGATATTTATTTCTCCCAAGGTTCCTTAGCTGGTTAATTGGTTAAGTTCAGTTTTAAATCCATGTCTGACTTGGAAAGGCTTTATTCTTTCTAGAACCTTTGGACTAATTTGCCTCAGGTCAGAAGTACACCAGGTAAGAACATTTAGCAAGGCAGGTGGTAAAAAATGAAGCAGGCACATAGTTGCCATGATACTCTGCTAAACACAACTAATTTTCAAAGATTTGGCTATAATTCTTACAGCAAATAAAAATTTTCAGGTCATCATAGCTCCATTACTTCTTTTAGTTTTGTCTCCTCTTATCCAGTGCTGATTTGAACAGATTTGTTTTCCACACTACAAGTAAGGTTCTGAAGTTACCTGTGGGGAGCTATTTCTAACCTAATAATCCTTACCTTCAGGCCAGACATTTTCATTCAAAAGCTGCTCAGACAGATAGTAAAGGGAGGCTTGAAGAATGACGGGCTCACTGCACCATGGCCTTTTAATACCCTCTATTAAAACTTAAGGTCTTTCATTAACTAAATAATTCTTCAAAACTACAGTCATAACTGACAAAAGTTAATTGGAAGTCATACTTCACATTCTCTCTTCCATTATGGCAAAATCAAGACTTCTATCAAGGAAGGCTCTATGAGAAGGCAGAAAGATTTTACCTTGGTTTCCTCTTTAGCTTCAAGGGAAGGCACAGGGCACAGATGCAGCCAGGCACCGAGAAGCAGCTGAAAATGGGTATGTAGGCAGAAGCCGTACATTCTCTGCCCACTCACATGAGTGGAAAACATTCAGTGAGTTGACTTGTCAATGAACTCACTGCATAGTAAATTCTTGACCGACAGCAGAGGTTGCTATTCCAAAGCAGAAAAGCAATGAAGGGAATTATGCAAAGAAAGAATTTCTCTTAATTTTCTTTTTAAAATGTCAAAGATTAGAAAATTATTCCAATTAGCAAAAATAATAATATGTATTAAGAAATTTTATCTTTATAGTCAGTCAACATGGCTTTACCTAGAATCTCAATTCTCAGGCCCAGTATTCACACTTATGTTTAGGAACTGGCTGAGATCATAATTCTTTAATAATCAGCAGTGCTCTATTTTCCTCAATACATTTACTACAGAAAATTGTGTAATTAAATTGGGTTGCCATTTGAAGTAATCCTACTGCAAATATTTATGAAAAAAATTTTGTTAACTTAAATAATAAAGAGTACATGAGAATCTATTTTAATTATGTTTTATTGACTGTATCTCGAATTATAAAAATCATAGAATTAAGTCCCTGGTCAACTCAGTCTGGCTAGAGGTTTATCAATTTTATTAAGTCTTCTCCAAAACAGGCTTTTGTTTTCATTGATTTTCTCTATTTTTCTGTTTTCTGTTTCATTGACTTCTGCTCTGATCTTTCTTGTTGCCTTTCTTCTGCCTACTTCATATTTCATTTGCTCTTCTTGATCTAGTTTTTTAAGAAGAAATCTGAGGCCCTTGGATTTGAGATCTTTCTTCTTTCCTACCACAGGCATTTAGTGCTATAAATTTCTCCCTAAGTAGCACGTTAGCAGTGTGTTGGGAGTCCCCAGGCCCACCTGGAGGCTCATGGACACTAGGAGAAGTCACAGGACTCAGCATCTAGTCGTACTCAGTGCTATGATTTATTATAGCAGAAGGTACCACAATCAGCAGAGGGGTATGTGGGGTGAGGTCCACAGGAAACGAGGCACAAGCTTCCAAGAGTCCTCTTCCAGTGGAGTTACAGAGGACATACCTAACTCCTGGAACAAGAAGTCCTAACAAAAAGTGTGAAATGTTGCCAAACAGGGAAACTGGTTAGAGACAACACCCATGGTTTTTACTGGGGGCCGGCCAAGTAGGCACCCTTTGCCTGGAATACACCCCAATTCCACAGTGAGCCACTCCTATTAGTTAGGGTGGGAGGGTTCCTCCCATTCTGCTCTACCCCTGAAATCCAAGTTCCCAGATTCCAGCGAAAAGCTGGCCTTGCAAACAGGTCTTTCTAAGGATAGTGGTGGCAGGCCTGCTATGTTAATTTCTTTTTGCAGAAATTCGAATACGTTGTGCTTTCCTTTTCATTCAGTTCAAAATGCTTTCTTTTTCCCCTTCTGAATTCTTCCTGAATCAATGGGTTATTTATATTCAAAATTATTGAGAGTTTTTTCAGAGATCTTTTTGCTATTAATTTCTCATTTATTTTCATTGTGGCCAGAGAGCATATTTTGCATGACTTTAGTTCTTTTAACTGTATTGAGTCTTGTTTTATGACTCAGAAGATGGCCTTTCTCAGTAAATGCTTCTTGTGTACTTCATAAGAATGTGTATTCTGCTGTTGTTGGCTAGAATGTCCTAGAAATGTCAATACGGTTAAGTTAGTGAATTGTGTTGTTTAAGGCTACTATTATCCTTGCTGATTTTCTATGTATTTGTTCTATGAATTATTGAAATCTCCAACTGTAACTGTGGATTTGTCTACTAAGCATCACTAACATTTAGTAACAGGATGTATAATTGTCTAGGCAGTCATAATTCACAGATGGCAATTTTTCTTTAAGTAATCTCAAGTAGTACTACTATAAAAGCAATGCAAACTGAGAGTACAGTATTAAAAAAAACAAAAGTGACTTTCCCTTCTGCACGATCATTTGACCTTGGTTAACTTTCTACCTTTGTTCCTCCTGGAAACTTGACCTAAGTGGTAAGTTAACTTGGTAACTATGAAATATTTGTAGGTTAAAAATAACCCCTAATTGCACCTGGACTGGAACAAACTAGAAATACCCAATAAGGACACCACAGCTTTGGCTGTAAGGCCACAAGTAGGTCCGACTGACAATTCCATTTAAATAAAGGAGTTAAAAGAGCATATCTGGGCTGCCTTCAGCACCTAGGTCAATGCACTAGGTACACCAATTAACTCTGGTAATAAAGGCAGGATTAGTAGTTATATCCACCCTTGAAAAGTAATCTTTTGTTGCCAGGTGAACCCCTGGTCCAGTTCTGTCGTTTTCCCATGGCATTCTTCACTGTCTGGCACGTTGCATGTATTTATGTGCTTGTTGTCTGTCTTCCCTTCTAGAATTTAACTCCATAAAGACAAGGACTTTGTTCTTCGTTGTTTGTCTAATGCTCTCTTCCCAGTACTTAGAACAGCAACTGGTACACAGTAGGGGTTCAGTAAATATTTGCTGGATGAAGCTCCTACTAATATATGGGTATTATCTGATTAAAATTTTACAGAGCACCTACTACGTGTCAAGCCCTATGGTAGTCAGGTGTGATGAAAGAGTGGTTATCGTCTATGATTTTATGGAGCTAAAAATCACAGATAAAATTTCAGGTAATTTTCTACTAAATAGGAATTTTCTTTATTAAAGTGTTGTACAATTTCTTCACTATGATTCTACATAATTCAATTCATTTAGTAACATTTTATAACAAAATTTTATCTTCAAAATGCTGTACACTTACCCCAGGATCCTAACTACATCACAAACTACTTCAATCACTTTAAAAAACCACCCCTGTTCCTCCCTATAGAAGCCTACATTTATGGATAAAACAAGGTCAGCAATAGTAGTTAGACTAAATGTTTCCCAACTAATCTCTACTCCAAATTTCTCTCAGGTGCACTCCTTTGGTACTCTACCACAAGTTTTCTCTTTAACTAAAAAAACAGTTAATTTAGTCCGCTTTAAAAAAAAAAGCTGAGCATTTCTTTCCTGTATATGGTATGTTCAGAGATAATCAGACCTTTTGAAGAATCACACACCAGTTCCCCTGATCATAGTAGCTTTGCAGAATGTTGACATTACTCAAAGTCTGGCAGGCAGCTTCCAATTCTCCCTCACAGAACACGTGGTAGTAACGATGAAACACAGGACTTGAGTCATGGGTTCCTAATGGACCAAGAGGCTCAGTAGGTTTTTCTTTACTAGAGCTTCCCTTAAGGTGCCAGGGAACCAGTAAGTCTTGAGAATGAAAAGAAGTCCTGTTAGTGTGAATAGGCAGCTTGGAATTAGCAACTTTGCTTGAATTACATCTTTCCTTCTGACAGTCATTAACGGAGGGCACAGAACATGCTGAGTCTTGATGGCCTGTGTCAGGCACTCGCTCCACAAAGAGCTCCTGCTCTGATGGATCACTGTTGCTCTCTTTCTTTCCTTGGCCACTTCTGTTTTCTCTGAGATACTTGGACTTCTTCTTATTATACTCTTGTTCCATCGCCCAAACATAAATAAGTGCCTTCCCACCAGGTCTCAGGAGCCGGACAAGTTCTTGAAGAGCTGCCACTCTGCGCTCCTAGCAAAAAACGTGTTGCCATTTATCAACCAGGCGGAGACAGAGAGAAAACAGAACAATATAACTGACTGTAGACTATTCTTAATTAAGATAAATAGCCCAGAAAAAAAATCCAGCAAAATATCTTATAGAAAACAAAAAAGGGAAAAAAAGGTAAGGGGAATCTTGTTCTGTGGTTGAGGGGTTAAAAAAGAGTGTTGAAGAAGGAAAAGGAAATTTTATTTCTGTTAATAAAATAGAGGCACAGAGGTTTTCCATTTTGTTTTGTTTTGAAATCCTTTAGGGTCACAAGGTCATAAAACTGCTGGTGACTCCAGCACAGGGTGATCTATAAAGTAACTGCTCGGATCAGGGAGAAATCACACACCCAAGAAAAAAGATTTTTTTCCTATAAAAAATACAAAACTCATTTATTTTATAATTAGGAACATATGTGACTAATTAAAGGCATCAGTGACACACTACTACCAGCTAAGTACCTGACTTGTGCAAAAAGAAGAAGAAAAGAGAAAAAAGAGAATTGGAAGGAGGTGAGATTCCAGTGTCAGGGACGGGAGTGAGAGCTGAGAAAGCGAGACAGGAAGAGACAGAGAGAGGAGGCTGAGGCTGAGGCTGAGGCTGAGGCGAGCGCGCTCCAGGGGCACAGGCCTGGCGTTCTCCTGAAGTCTTACAGCTGCTGTGGACCGCGGGCCACCGGGGTCTGAAGGATCTCGAGACAGCTGGGCGAAAACCTGCTCTAAAGGACACTGACTGGGTAGCTTTTGGGGAGACTATAACCAGAAGCCGAAGGGCACTGCCAACTCCCTGATCTCCTGGAATGAGACTCTCACCTCCAGGTTGGCTACTCTACCTGAGTCCACCTGCTTTCGCTTACTACAGGGCCTACATAGCAAAGGCCGGCTTGGTAGACGACTTTGAGAAGTTTAATGCCCTGAAGGTCCCTGTGCCAGAGGATAAACAGTGTCCTGGTGGACACTGAAGACAAAGAAGAGGGAAAAGCTGTGTAGAGTTTTTGCCTCTCTCGAAGACCAGGACTGAGCAATACAAGAAAGAGCTGGAGATGATGAAGAGCATAATTCCATTTGATCAGCTGACCACTGAAGGTTTGAATGAAGTCTTCCCAGACACCAAACTAGACAAGAAGAAGCACCCCTACTGGCCTCATGAGCCAATTGAGAATTTAAACGTGAGTCTCGGAGAAAGCTTTGGCTCTCATATTATGAACTCCAGGCATTAAAAATAATTATATGGTGGGAAAAAATTTAAAGATGATTAAAAATTTAAAGATGAGTAAGACTCGAGGTAGGAAAAAGGCAGAAACGTGCAGCTATAAAAACATAAAGCCCCAACAGGCTTCTGTTTAACTAAGTACAACTCTCATATAACTCATCTCCATCCACATGCTCTCTGAACAAACGGTGCAAAATATGACAAGAGAATGGAAAGAAAAGCTAATACAGGTCCAAACCAGTAAAATCCATGCACATTTCCTGCCACTCTAGTTACAGGTTCTTGGAGAGAGAAAGACAGTACTTACTGCTGTCGCAAAATGGTGAATAACAGCAATGGAGATGCAGGCGTCACAGGACCCACTGCGGACCGGCACTGCCAACGCATCACAGACAAAGGCCGGAAACTGCCTCTCTCTACAAATGTCCACAAGGTTGTGGCTACGATCACAGCCAATCTAAAACAGAGAAAGCCATAACATTTTTTCTCAATGTCATAGGCAATCAAGAGCAATGGATTTATTCCTTACCATAAAATATGAGACAGATTTCATATTCACTGTGAAATGACCTAAGACCATATTATCAGTTCTTACAGCCAGTACAAAGTCAGAATGTATAATTCACAGGGCAGCATTTATTACCTTAACAGGCATCGAACAGAACTCAAGCTAGTAAATGGAAACAAATGACGTGACTAAAAACGACAGTGGTGGAAAAAAGAGGTCCTACCTGGCATCTACTTGATCGCCACTCAGAATCTAGATCTCTTTGTAATATCACACACTTAAAAATGAAAAATATCCCATAAACATAGACATTTAGTCTTTTGAGGAGAGCTATAAATGAGAGGATCTAAGGTATCTCTCATTACTAATAAACTATACTCTGATGGCCCATATAACAGAAAAATAGCTGATTTTTTTCCTGCTTCTTTATACTTTTCAATATGTATTATTTGTGTAATCAGAAAATAAAATTCCAAAACAATAAAAAATAAAATAACTTATTTCATTTTTTAAAGTTACTGTTCTGCTAAACACCTAATCTATATATGTCAAGAATAAAGTGCTGAATTCAAAATTTCTAAAATGCTATTTAATTTAGTATAACCAAACCGTCCTGGGGGAATGACAGCACTGAAGGCAGCCAGCAGCATCCTCTCACCTTCCCAAGCAGGTGGGCTAACACGCTTGGTGTATGTGTCTGGTTCTGTGGGAAGTGTCTGGAGCTGGGACTGCCCATTTTCCCTCTAGTTTTGCTATTGTTGGACACCGTTTTGCTGTCCAGCTCAAACAGTGCAGTAAGTGTGTGGAAGAGAAAGAGAGAGAGAGAGAGAACACATGCATGTGCACAATGTGTACATGTAAACTAAGGAAAGAATGGGAGGGTTTAAGAAATGTTAGATCACTAATTAATAATTATGCCCAAATGTTTCTTCTTAACCCATCTGTACAACAGAGAAAAGGTATACAAGTAGATTTCATCAAACAGAAGCAGCCACCTCAAGCTTATAGTTATTCACTTGAATTTCTGAATCAGTATTCAGGTTCCCGCAACCCATCAGAGAACAAAGAACATGAATCTTCATGTCAAAGCAATTTCTTACCGAGTTAAATCACACTGCCATGAAAGTCATACTTAATATGAATATGCTCAATGTCTAATTGGCACTACACAGCTTCTCTATTCTATCCCAGAGCTGCATTCGTTTCTCAGGTATAATACAAGGTACCAAAAGAGAGGTAGAGCAGAGCAGTTTCCCTTTGACATATTTTAAGACGGAAAAGTACTAAGGGCCCACTAGTAACAACAGTGGTGCGATTCCCAACTAACTGCTCCCTTCACCAGCGTAAGGTACATAACTGGCTTATTACTTTTATTATTTCCATGCCACTGAGCCAACAGTCACAATATCACAATACTACTCAAGTAACATGCATATTAGATTTTGGTGCTTGCTAACTTTTGTTACAATAAAATTCAGTTCATCGGGATAGAAGTTTCAAGTATGCCCAATTCTGACAGATTGCTATACTTTGCTAAAAGTCAACAGGAAGAAATCCAACTTGCCCATAAAACAAATCCCCAGAGATAGAGCTCCATAGTTACTCAGAGGAGGAAAGTTATATTGAAAACCACAGATAAAACAGAACAAGGGGAACAGCAGCCAAACAAAATCAGAGAAAATGTCCTTTCTCTTAATTCCTTTCTGCCAACAGGAGAGCAGGGGCAGTTTTAGTCATAAAGCACCTGGTCTAATAAAGCTTCCCACTGACCAATGCTTGGCCATGCCTGGCTCCACACTTTCATCTCCCACTTATTGCAACTGAGTCTTCCATACACTATAGTTAAAGCATCACTATTTTTTTTAAATTCCCTTAATTTTTTTTTTTTTACCAAGGATAGTACCAAGTGTTTTAAACTCTCCTTAATAATACTCTATAATATCAACAACAGGACAGAAAATGGCTTACTTATACTCACAGATATTAAAAGACTCTACTTCTGTGTGTTAGAAGATCAATGACATAAAAACACATAGTGCTTAGGCTTAAAATGGATAATTATACTCCTAAATAATTTAAATCTTCAACAAAACATAAACATGTAATTCTGAAAGTATAGGTAAAAATGAAAAAATATTCAACCAAGTAGTCAAAGGTGCAAACTGAAACAAGGTTCGATTTTGCTGCTATCAAAGTATCAAAACTATGTAAAACTCAAGTACACCATACAGATAAAATGTGATAAAACTCACTCTCATAAAGTGTCAGTGACAATACAAAGTGGCTCATCCAATTTAAAAAGCCATTTGGCAAGCCATTTTTTAAGGAAGATAAAACTGTTCACAACTTTTGACCCAATAATTATTCTTGTAAAAATGTATCCTAAGAAAATAGTCCAAAGTATGGAAAAAGCTAACTGGGCTACTATTGCCTTTTATGGAGTGCCCACTATGTACTAAAGCAGAGTCTTTGCAGTAATGTACTTAGCACCCTAATAACACACTCTGAGTTAGGTATTACTACCACCATATTACAGACGAGGAGACTTCATCTCAAAGAACACATGTAATTTGCCGCCAATTGAACAACAGTTAAGTGGTGGAGCAGGAATTAAGACTTTCTCACTCCAAAAATCCATGTTCTTCCTTTTTGTCACATTCATTTTCTGAATTGTGGCTATATTATTTTTACTTCTTAAAAATTACATTTTTAAACTATTAACAAAATATGCTATTACAGGAAATCAGCCTGGTAGCATATAAAGTCAGAGAAACAGGCAAAAGCAGTCAAGTACAGTAACAAAAGCATACTAAAACCCAGATTTAAATTCTGGGTTCAGCAATAACTAGCTGAACAACATAGGAAAACTACTTAATATCTCAGAGCCTCTTTTTCCTCATCATAAAAATACCTACTTCTCAGGGTTAATATGAGAGTCAAATAAAAATGATGTATAATATGTTTCACTAACCATAAAAGTGCTATGCAAATGTTAGTTATTATCAGTACCTGGAAGGCGAGGCTGATGCGAAGAGAAATCCATGAACCCTGAAGGTGCCTGCTCCGAGTGAAGGCCCACCCACCCTGAGGTTGCCACATTTCCTCCAGGGCTGCGAACACAGCACTGTGTATATTCCGGTTTCATGTAAGAAACTGAAGGTGAATTCACAGGTCTGCTCCTCACCACTCAACAAACAATTAACAGGCTTCTATCATGTGCCAAGTAAGTGGACATCAAAACAGATGATTCCTGTCATGCCTGAGGTTACAGCCTGCGTTTCTCTGTCACCACAGCCAGCTTTAGAGTCTGTCTCAGCACAGCACCCAGGAGTATGGACCCTGGAGTTGGAGATGAGATTCTAATATTTGCCCTGATACCATTTAACCTTGGGCATGTCAAACCTGAGCATCAGTTTTCCCATCAGTAGAATGGAGACAACAATACCAATCTCATGGACTATGTATATGAGAAAACACTGCACAGCACTAGCACACAGCAGGTATTGGAGAGTTAGCTTCCTTTCTGTTCTTTCCTTCACTGGGGTAGTCGACAATTAAAAAAACACCACCACCACACAAAAAAACCCAGAAATGTACAGATATATAGACACATCTCCAATTCTTATCATTATAAACAGACTCCTGGCATTTTTATGATGTAACTACTCACAGCAACCAAAAAAGCCCATGCCACATGTTAAGTAACCGTCTAAGAAACACTTGGACTGAATGTGCTTTGAGATCAATGCACAGAACAGTCACTTAGAGAATGAGGCAGGCCACACACATCTCATCTATCACTGGTACTATCATAAAGGGAATAAGCCTCCTGAAAGTATAAAATCTTTGCTCATAAAATTTACCTCTGGAAATAAAGCCAACAGTTAGTTGATAGAAATGAAGAGTAACTGAAAGAAAGAAATGGTTCCCAGCCAGAATGTAAGACTTCTGAATTAAGAAGACTAAGCTCAGGCGTGGTTGAGATCACATAAGAACAAATTCACCACATGTGCTTCTTACAGAAAAGAAACGCAGTTCATAAAACTATTTCCATGAGAGCCCAAGCTGTTATTTTAAAATGCACTGTTAAAAAAATTATATATAAAGTGATATTAGTAATTTTTTAGATGCTATGACTACGCTACATCTGAACACCCAGAATGAATGTCTGGGGTCACATCCCCTCATGAATGTCAAAATGCACATATTTTCATGGTCAAAGGTGGTTGCTCAAAATATCCTCAGGTATCACGGCTCCATCCAGCTGGAGCCTCAGCAGCAAGGAGAGCAGGCTCCGCGCTGGCGGGGTGGCTCGGCTGAGCAGGGCGCCATCCCGTACACCACAGGCTGTGGGTTCGATTCCCGCTCAGAGCAAATACCTGGGTTGCTGGTTCAATCCCTGCTCGGGGTCGTGTGGGAGGGAACTGACTGATGTCTCTCTCACACTGATGTTTGTCTCTCTCTCCCTCCCTTCCTCTCTCTAAAAATCAAGGAAATATATCCTTAGATGAGGGTTAAAGAAAAAAAAAAAAGCAGCTTCCCTTTCATCACAAATAATTCAACTGCTGGTACAGTAAACACGAGAACTACCGCCAGACAAAGCATTTCCATTCGTTCACTGAACCAACACTTACTGAGCCTTCCTTCCTAGAGATGGGACAACGCAACTGGCTCCAGGAATGACAGACAGGAAGGAACGAGTGTGCCTGCCACTGACAGAGTGGACAGAGAGCCCGTACTTGTGCTTTCCCACCCTGCTAAGTGCATCCCTTCTTGAATCAGTGGCCTGCAGATTCTGGTTCAGGTGCCTCTTTATCAAGTAGTCATTTTTCTCAACTGTACAGGCAAATCTTATCATCATGACTAAGTCAGTGAGGTTGACTTCCATCTAGGGTCACGATCACAAAGGATACTGAACTAGATAAGGCCATGGGCTATCACCAAGGAAGTGCAAAAGCAGAGCTTACTAGAAACAGTGTTGTACAGCACCTTAGACACCAGGAGTCACCTTGTTCTGAACTGTGCTTTCGTCGTGATTTTAAATGACACATCAAAAACCCGTTTCCTTCTCAACCAGAACAAACTTAACTCACTAGACTTTATTCTTTATAAACTATATTTTAATTGTAAGCATAACAGCATACAAATACTAATGTCTGATCTTGATGAAAAGCTATTTTTTATCTGAATGCACAAACTACACCTTTCCTCAAATGCAGTAGTAACTTCCTTTCCTCATGTAGATGCACAATATCCAGGAAGAGGTAAAAGTAAATCAGAAGCGCTCTGACACACTACCGCAGCCCGTGAAAGCAGACCGCTCTCATTCCCCTTACCTGTCCCCTCTCTAGTCCTTCCTCCCCTGCTCTTGAGAAAGGGACACTCCAGTGCTCACAGAGCAGTGCCGACATGGTATTTCAACAACGCACTAGTGCAGGGAGAGCTTCCTACTTCCTAGCACAGCAGACAAAAAAACAAAAAAGAGCGGCCCACAGGAAAGGAAATCACAGCAACTGAAAACAGAAACTTTGATATCGGGCAAGAAGCAGGTTCATATCCTGGGTCTAGCACTATAACCTTGGTCAAATTTTCTAATCTGCTTGAGCCTTAGTCTCTTCAACAATAAGACTCCAACAAATAGTAAACTTTTTCTTGTTCCACTATGAGCAAAAGGACACTAGGTTTGGAGTCAGAAGGCACAGGTTCAAGTTTAACTTATGTTCCCTAACTATATGACGTCAGGGAAAGAATATAACCTCTGTGAGCCTGTTTCTTCATTGACAAAAGACAGATGAAAAGATCAGCTTTATCTTTCTCATACCCAGGAGCCTAGGAGGATCTAAGCACAGAAAATGGTTCCTATTAATCCTTTCTAATGGGTAAGGAGTCTTTATACATATAAATAATTTTACTGATAAAATAATCTTCTTTGAAAGCAAAATCTAAAGGGAGAAAATAAATTCAAACAATGGCATGCCCAAAAATTTCTATGGGAATAAAAAAGAATGCGCGTGTTCATTAATTTTCAATTTGTTGGTTATAATCAACCTAAAAAGACATCATTACATCATGAGGAAGGCATTGATCAGGCCCTTACAGATGAAGTAGAAAGAAAGCCAGAAGCAACAATTACTTGCCATATATAACTCCTTATTTATGCCAAGGTACTTTCCATTTCCACATCCAATATCAGCCACTAGCGAACCACTTGGCAAAGCTTTCAAAAACTCCACAATGTGTGGCCACGGAGAATGTCTCGTGCTGCTGAAGTGCCCAGCGATCTCTTCGTAGACTCGATGCACATACTCTTGCTCCAACCGTGAGGCTTCTTTATCGCTCGCTGGGAATGAAGGAGTCGTCTCCTTCATCTGGCTGTCACAGACCAAAGGGTAACCTAATGAAAAAACAAGGCAATATAAACCTTTCATCTTTATCCAGATGATTCAGAAGGTCTCATGCTTTCTTAGAAGGAAAAAGCAAATCAACTCAAACTTGGTGACCAGGGGTAAGAAGCCTCTGATTTATGAATCAGAAAACAGCTCTGACCTAGCAAGTGCAATCACATGTGTGATGGATCTACTGGAAAAAGAAGGGGGAACCCACTGCAACAAAACATGACTGCAGTTCTGCATGCCTTATGATGAAGACGCCTATTTCATCTTGGGGTTGAGGGTCCTCTTATTCAGGAAAGCATCTTGATGGGTCAGGCCTGAGCAGAAGAAAGGTAGCTACCATTGACAAGATTTAGGGTTTTACTCTTGGCAGGAGAAGGAGATAAGAGTTCCAGGGGTGCTAGGACTCTTAGAACAACAAAACCTAGAAGCAAAATGTCATTTGGTGGTAATCACAAGTGTTTAATAAACACTATTTGAAGCAGGTTATATATGTATCGTCTCAACTCTCACAGTAACACTATAAAATAGGTACTATTACGCCATTTTACAGATGAGAAGCTGAAGCACAGGACGTTATATAATAATCCCAAAGTGACAAAGACTGTAAAACATAGAGCTAGGATTTGAATCCAGGCAATGGAGACTCCAGAGCCCATATTCTCAATGACTACACTGTGTTGCCTTCTTTAATAGAATGAGCAAACCCAAGTAAAGGTGTGACAGAGGAAATGTAGGATACAATGTCACAAATTCATTTTGAAGTTGTTCCCTGTTCTCTGCAGTGGGCTAACACTTATTTTAAATCCCTGCCTGTTCCCAGCTATGCTATAATTCTCCTTTGTCTCCAGCCAAAGTTTATGACAACAACATCTTTTTATGGGTAGTATTCTAGAGTATGAAAGAAAAAGTACTGCTCCCAGAGAAACCACAGATAAGACTAGGAAAATAATTATAAATAGAACTGGGCTATAGCATTCATGGCTTCTGAAATTTCCCTAAATATACTAGAAAATGCCAAACCTTGAGAAAGCCTAGAATGGGCGTGGGAGTAACTAGTCCCTACTAATGTGTGAAGTGAAGCACTAAACATTTTAAGTGGACATTTAAGAAAAAGATAGAAAAGCCCCAGAAAGCTTGAGGACTCCAAAACATACCTGTGGAAACAGGTAGGTTACATTATATTGGTTAAATCAGAATTACAATTACACTATAATATACATTACAGTTATCCTATATTGGTCATAGTAAAAATTTATTCTCTTGGAGATTATGAACACCTAAACTGTCTAAAGGGAGTAGCAACCCTTATCATTTAAAAATTCATAAATTTTTCCCAAAGGTATCCAAAAGATGGCCCAGAACTTTAAAAAAAAAAAAAAATCTGTGAACTGACTATACTATGATCAGAGCTTCTTATAGGATTCCTTACATTTAATTAATGCCCATAACAAAGACATATTTGCATAAGAAAGCAGCCTGTTTGTCCAACTAGACTTCAAGGTCCTTGAGAACAAGGGCCACAGTAGACATTTCAAGTTTTCTAAAAGGCTAACACCTTGTAGATATATATAATAAGGGCTTTTAAATGTTTTTAAGATTATGACTAGATCCAAAAGCAAATGCTAGATATCTCCCATAATTAAAAACCCCAGGCTATAAAAAAGAGCTTACATCACTGTCATTAAAAATATTACTTATAAAATGAAAGGGGTTTATTTATTGAGTCTAAGAAATAGAGGTCATGACGTACTTGTGTAGACAGCTCAAAATAGCATCCTCTTGACAAGTTTTTGAGTATGTACTTCTTTTATTCCTTCATAGATTTCCAAATTGACAAAAACCACTGCTTGTCCCCCTAGAGTTATCTCAGATTTGTATCTCCAATTTCCCCTTGGGGTTAATGAGAAGTAATTAAAAAACTTGACAAAGCTGTTTCCAACAAAATCTACTTTTGTGATATGTTAATATCCTACCATTGTAGTACTCTTAACTGTGACTTCGAAAAATATATATTTATTTGGCATCCAACTATGCTCAAGTATGGTTTGTAAAAAATAAACATGAATACGATGTAGTCCCTACCTTCAGAGACTATAAACTCTAATCGGGGAGGCTAAGAAAAACATACGTAATACCAGACAAAATGTGGGAAATGCCATTAGAGAAGTTAAAACAAAGCTCTCCTTGGTTCTGTTGGGACTTTAAAAGATTTTCATCCTTGATTTATTCCGTTTTACAATAAAACCAAAATTATATACTTACCACAGTTACAAGGTGTTTGCCTCACTTTCCTAAATGTAAATGATGTCCGTATTCCCCTCTTGCTTAAAGTTAAGTCTCCAACATCACCAATGATAACTCCACTTTTGTGACCCTTGGATGCTTGAACAGTATCAAATTTTCTGGGCGTTATTCTAAAAACAACAGTCAAAATAGTTTATTTAACATGCCATTCATAAAAACATTTCAGGTCCTTTAAAAACATTAAGGAAATAGAGTAAATCTAGAAGAATGTATTGCAAATATCCACTGGATTCCCTGAATTGTTAAGCACTGCAGAAAAAACATAGAAACAGAAGTTATGTATTTTAAGAGGTCATCTTCAGGATAATCATATTAAAAGAATGTCCAGCCCTGCTTGGTGTCGCTCAGTTGGTTGGAGGGTTGTCCTGTGCACCAAAGGGTCTCAGGTTCAATACCCAGTCAGGGCACATACCCAGGTTTCCAGTTCGATCTCTGGTCGGGGTGCAAATGGGAGCAACCTATCAATGTCTCTCTCTCTCTCCCTCTCCCTCTCTATCTACCCTCTCCCTTCTTTTCTCTCTAGAATCAATGAAAAACATATCCTCAGGTTAGAATTTGAAAAAACAAAAAAGAATATACAGTTAATGAATTATTCAAGGAGAAAATGGAATAACAATATTTAATACCAATTCCGAGAAGAAGGGAAAAAAACAACAACAAGGAACAGATGAGGCAAAGAAGAAACAAATAGTAAATTTACATCCAGTATCAGTAATAATGTTAAATGTACAAGGACTAAAAAGTCCAATTAAAGAACAACAGTTTTCAGACTGGATTGAAAAAAAATAAAATCCAATTATACACTGATTACAAAAGATCTTAAATATAAGGACAGAGAAGGGTTGAAAATAAAATGATGGAAAAAAGATGTACAAAAGACATATATTTTACATATACCACGCAAAATTAAAAGAAAAGTGGCATAGCTCAATCAGACAAAGTAGACTTTCAGGGCAATAAGTATTATTAGCGATAAAAAGGACATTTCATAATGATAACAGGGTTAATCCAACAAAAAGATATAAAAGCCCTATATATTTGTATACACCTAACTAATAACACAGCATCAAAATAAAGAAAAAAAAAAGTGAAAAATCTAACAGAAACTGACAAATACATAACCATCATTTGAATTTCAAACACAACTTTCTTAATAAGTGAAACCTAGGTAAGGGTCAAGTACATTCACATCAGAAAACAACAGATAATGGAACAGAAAAAAGAGTGCACGGTTGACTCATAAATTTTGTAATATAAACACAGTAAGTAAAAATCAAAGACTAAAAAATAAAGAGACAAGTATAAGCCATTGTGGGTTGTAAGAAAGCTTAAAGGGAATCTTTGGAGGAAGAGAAAGTTTTCGAGTGGCAAAAAGAAATCATTTGGTAAGGAAATAGGGCCCCTTTAAAGTTAAATCTACAGAGAGTCAAGTGCACAGATCTTAAGGGTACAGTTCAATGAGTTTTGAAAATTGTATACAACCATGTAACCACCACCTCAATGAAGATCTCGAACATTTCCATCACCCAAGAAAATTCCCTTGTGCCCCATTCCACTCAATCTTTCCCCACCTCGAAGGAACCGCTGTCCTGACAACTTTTAGTATACACTTATTGAATTTCATAAATACTTAGCACTATTTTCTGTCTGGCTCTGCTCATTCAACATAATAATTTGGGGATGCATCTATGTTGCGTCTATCAGTAGTTCACTGTCCCTTCATCACTAAGTGTATGAACACACTACAATTTATTTATCACAAATCTCATGTTGATGGATATTTTGGTATCCTCAGCTTGGGACTTTACAAATAAAACTTCTGTGAACATTCATATAGATCTACATCTATATCTATTTTAGATATATATTTTACTATATATATCTTTTATATTTTTTATTATATATCTTTTTTAGATATATCTTTTTATTATATACAAACACATATTTTTTAGATATATATTTTTATTACTTTGAGTAAATATCTAGGAGTAAAATATCTATTTTAGATCTATTTTAGAAAAATATTTATTATATATTATATATTTAGATAGATATTTTATATATTTTTATTATATGTCTTTTAGCACATATATTTATTATATATACACATATTTTTAGACATATATTTTTATTATATATACACATATATCTTTTTTAGATATATATTTTATTACTTTGAGTAAATACCTAGGAGTAAAATTTCTATTTTAGATATATATTTTAGATCTAATTTAGGTATATATATTTATTATATATAATATATATTTAGATATATATTTTATTATACATTTCTTTTTTAGGCATATATTTTTATTACTTTGAGTAAATACCTAGGAGTAAAATTGGTGGGTCATAGGGAGAGACACTACCAGTTTTCCAAGGTGGTTATACACAATTTTATACTCTCATCAGCAACATATAAGAGTTCCAGGCTGCTTGATATTCTCACCAACACTTAGTATTGTCTGAGTTTTTAATTTTAGCCATTTAAAAAAAGGGTGGCATGTGATATGAAATTCTGGTTTTAATTTGTACTTCTCTGATGACTAATGATGCTGTACATCTTTTAATGAGCTTATTAGTCATTGATAGATCCTTTTGTCTGTTTAAATCTTACGCCCAATCCTTTCTAATATATTTGTACTGTGGATATTCTCTCCCCATGTGTAGCTTGCCTTTTCAGTTTCAATGGTATCTTTTGATGAGTGAAGTTTTAAATTTTGATGCAGTTTTGTCTTTTTTTCCTTTGACAGTGTGTTTTCGTATCTTTCTAAAAAAATGTTGCCTACCTCAAGGTTACAGAAATATCCTCTTGTATTTTCTTCTAGATGTCTTGTAGTTTTTGCTTTTACATTTAAATTTATGATGACCTCATATGAATTTCTGTGAATGGTGTGAGGTAGATCCAGGTTCATTTTATTTCCACATGAATATCCAATTGTTCCAGCACCATCTGTTGAAAAATTTCCTTTCCAGACTGAATTGCATTGACATCTTTGTCAAAAACCAACCACATTATATGTGCAGATATATTGTGTCCCACTGGTCTATTTGTCTATACCCTTTTGATTATGTAGCTTTATAGTAAGCCTTAAAAATCAAGTAAAATAAATCCTCCAACATTGTCCTTCTGTTTCAAGATTATTTTGATTACTCACATTTTCTTATAAATTTCAGAATCTGCTTATTAACTTCTACAAAAAAGACCCTTAATATTCTCATTGGAAATACACTGAATCATTAGATCAATCTGAAGTCAACTGAAATCTTAACAACATTAGTTTCCTATCCATGATCATGGCATCTCTATCCATTTACTTGGGCCTTCTTTCATTTCTCTCAGTGATACTTCATGATTTTCAGTGTATACGCACTGCATATCTTTCATTAAATTTATTCCTAAGATTTAAATCTTGTGAGGCCAAGTATTCTGCTTTATTTACCCTACAGAAATGGGTTTCGTATTCACAGAAAATGTGCTAAGCCCGAAAGATCTCAGCAAATTAGAAAAAAGTGTTATTGTACACTTCAGTTGCTGATACCTCTTTATTAAGAGCCAGGTAAGTTTTTTCTAACATCTAGAAGGCAACCAATCAACCTCCCTCGCGCTCTCCCTCGCTCGCTCGCTCTCCTTTCCACTCTCTCTGAAAACCAATGGAAAAAATATCCTCAGATGAGGATTAAAAATTAATGAATTAATTAATTAAATAAAAATAGAACTACTATATCATCCAGCTATTCCACTTCTGAGTATCTGCCCAAAGGAGACAAAAACACTAACTCAAAAAGATACCTGCACCCCCACATTCATTGTGGCATTATCTACAATAGCCAAGATACGAAAAAAACCTGTGTCCATTAATGGATAAATAAATAAAGAAAATGTAATACACACACAATGGAATATATTCAGCCATAAAAAAGAAAGAAATTCTGCCATTTGCGACAATATGGATGAACCTTGAGAGCATTACGCTAAGTGAAATCAGTCAAAGAAAGACAAATGCCATCGATCTCACTTATATGTGGAAAGTAAAGCAAAAACAAAAACAAATTTTAAGATACAGAGAACAAATTGGTGGTTGTGGAGTTGGTAGGGGGTGGTATGGGGGGAAGGTTGTGAAATGAATGAAACTAGTTCAAAGGAACAAATTTCCAGTTATAAAATAAGTCCTAGAGATGTAACACACAGTATGGCGACTATTAAATAATACTACGGTGTATATCTATCTGAATGTTGCTAAGAGAATAAATCTTAAAAGTTCTCATCACAAGAAAAAATTTGTAGCTCTGTGGTGGTGGTAACTAGACTTACTATGATGATCATTTCATAATATATACATATAGAGAATCATTATGTTGTGCATCTGAAACTAATACAATGTTATGTGTGTGTATTTGTGTGAGACTTAAATCTCAATTTAAGAAAAAGGATCAGAATTCCCAGGCTGACAGCTTTTTAAACCACACCATAACTGATTAACTACTTAATTCAGAGTACCGAAAGAAGTATTTTACAGGTCTTGATGTTATTTTTAAAAGCATTTTATTTCATTTTCCAAAAAATTAAGTGTTGAACATTGACCTTGTATGCTACCACCTTGCTATGCTCACTCATTAGTTCTAGCACTTGTGTAGATTTCCAAGGATTTTTTATATCTACGATCGTAGAGTTTTACTTCTTTCAAATCTGTATGATTTTTATTTCTTTTTCTTGACTTATGCTGGCTAATACAGCCAACATAATACTAAGTAGAAGTGGGAGAGCACACATCCCTGCCCACTTCAATTTCTCAGGAAAAAGCATTCAATATTGCACCATGAAGTACAAGGCTAGCTGTGGGGTTTCCACAGATGCCCTTCATCACATTGAAGAAGTTTCCTTCTGGTCCTAGTCTGCCAAGTTTCTATCATGAATGGATGCTCAGTTCTGTCAAAAACATTTTCTGCATCAATCAAGATGATTATATATTTTTCTCCTTTGTTCTTTTAATGTGGTTAATTACATTGCTTGGTCTCCAGATGTTAAACCAATCTTGCAATCCTGGGGTAACCTCCTCCACTCAGTCTTGATATATTTTCTACATATCACAGGATTGGATTTTCTAAGATTCTGTTAAAGAATTTTTGCATCGCTGAGAGAAGCTGGTCTATAATTTTCTCTTGTTTTAATGTCCCTGACATGTTTTGGTGTCAGGGTAATGCTGATCTCATAAAACAAGTTGTGAGAATGGCTCTTTAAAAGAACTTGCCCTAAAGAAAATTTTTTAGAAGTAAAAGCAAGCAATTATTGCCTGAATTTATATGATTGTTACTCTGACAGCTTAAAATGATTAAAACTATAGTACTGAACAAAGGCAAAGTATTTCAGAACAATGAGTATCTTGAACCCCTTACTAGCAAACAAATTTCTCTCTTGGGGACTAGTTCTCCATGATGATTCTCTGAAGTCAATTACTTCACCTGCATAGAGTTAAATCACATGCAAAAGTCAAGCTGTACGAAATTACTTTTGACATCAATCTCAGATTTTTAGAAATTGGTAATCCATGTTAACAATAATGAATTCTTTAAACATCTCTGAACAACTTTTTTCCCCTTGCACTCAAATTATAATCTAGTTGGAAAAATATTTTTTTTTAAATGAAAACATTTTTATACATTAAATAATAGCTCAATAAAATAGAAAAAAATATCGCAGACAATACAACCTTTTAGGAGTTAAGATACAGGAGAAATTATTTCAGGCTAATGCAGTCAGAAGCAGCTTTATAAATTTATAAAGTCAAAGCTGAGCTGTATAGGGTCTTTAAAAAAGTAAGTGGAAAGGAAAGGAAAATTTACTGCATCAAGAGTTATAAACAGTGTGAAGGCTACAAGTACAGTATAAATTCAGAGGAAAGGGAGCAAAAGAGTTTAGCTATAACCTGGTTCAGAGCACAGGTCCTGAAGCCAGGCTGCCTGGCCTCTGATCTTGGTTCTGCCACTTAATGGTTTTGTGACTTTGTACAAGTTATGTAACCTCTTTATGCTCCAATTTCCTTTAAAAATGGGGACAAAACCATGGAAGACACTTTCCACTCTGACTATGTGAGTTAAATGAGTTAATATAATGTAAAGCTTTTACAACAATGCCGGACACAAAGAAAATGCTCCAAAAATAAGTTAAAAGGAGAGTTCACATAAACTCATGAAATAATGCCTCCCAAGGACAGTCAAATGACACAAAATGAGTGAAGCAGATGGATTTGTTTAGAAATATACTGTTTGCTATTAAACACATGGGGATAGTCTTCATTTCAAAAAAACAGTGTTCTCTTCCACTTTTCTTAAAACATGCATTCCTGCTCATTCCAGTATTCCTTTTTCTACTTTTAATACCAACATGAGTTCAAGAAATTTCAATTTTCATTTAACTCTGTTATAAGATAAAAACAATAGCACAAGCACAGTGATATCTGCAAGTGATAGTCAGCCTTAGTTCAGGGAGTCGTAGAAACTGGTGGGAACTATAGAGCACTTGAAAATGTGGGCCCCAGCAAAAAAAAGCCATTGATAGTCTTGGCTGCTGCTGCCAAATGATACTGTGGCCTAGTGCTGTCAGACTTTCCCAGTTTTCAAAAGAAGCAGGAAATTCAGGTTTTTATGTAGACACTCCTGATTTTTATATGTAGGCAATTTTTTAAATGCTACCACGTGGACCACCACTGCTCCTTCCAAATAGTCTGACTGCTGTGCTTGACCCATGTGCTTCCGGTTTGCCACCTCTGCTTTAGGGCACGGTGGCTAGAATACGAAATAGAGCTAGATCAAATTTAAAGTGTTTGGAATTAATATTATAGGGCCATGTTATTCAACCTTCTTCAGTTCATATCCATTAATAGTGTTTTCCAGTGCTTTTTATAGCACAGAGATCAAAATATTCTTACTAAGGTTTATTTCCTATAGTTTATACATACAGGGTGGGGCAAAAGTAGGTTAACTGTTGTAAGTACAAGAAACAAGAGTTTATTCTTGTATTATTTATTAATTATACTATTTTCAATGTTAACCTAGCTTTGCCCCACCCTGTATTTTTAAGTGTATTAAATGTGCTTTTTCTTTTTTTTCTTTTTTTAAATATATTTTTATTGACTTCAGAGAGGAAGGGAGAGGGGGGAAGAGAGATAGAAATATCAATGATGAGAGTCACTGATCGGCTGCCTCATATACGCCCCTCACTGGGGATCAAGCCCGCAACCCGAGTATGTGCCTTGACCGGGAATCGAACCACGATCTCCTGGATTCTAGGCCGACGCTCAAACCTGAGCCATGCACAGCCGGGCTAAATGTGCTTTTTCAATCTATTCTCCCTTCCACACAGAGATTCTGGTGAAAACCTCAATGGCTGGTATATCATCTGTGTGGTCAGTCTCTCTCTGCTCCTGTCTCTATCTGTGCCCCGTACCCCTTACACTCTCCCTCCTCCTCACTCTCTTCCTACACACACACACTCTCACATCACAGGCAATGAGTGTCAATGGAAGCCATTAAAAATAATACTGAGGTTTGTTTCCCCTGAAACTATTATAGAGAATTTTGGTTCTAGAGAGAGATTTTAAAATAAATATTACCTCCAATTCAATCTTCCACAGATACTACTCTTAGCACTTAATAGCACAACATGCTTTGAACAAGAGAGTGTGATCAAAATGATGTTTAGGAGAACTAATCTGTACCATTACTCAAAATAAACTAAAATATTTTCAAAATATAGGCCTATAAAAAGTAATCTGTTATTTTGTATTTGCTATACCATTACTCTTAAGTTTAAATGTTATCATATTTGATCCTAAAAAGAGAAAATATAAATATTCTCTTTTAAGTGGCCATGAAAGAGTCAGGCAGATTTAAGCTTCAGTGCACAAAATCAGGCCATCTGTTTTTATGGCTCACATTTAGGACAGGTTACAAATTCATTTACATGTTCATTTCCCAGAATTCTTATAAATACATCAGCTAAAATCACCAAGTGGGACAGAATTAATAATAAGCACAGAACTCAGCAGTATTTTAAGTACAATATGTGTAAATTTTAGGAGTGTGATGCTTCCTTCTCAAAAGGCTGAAGATGTATTCCTGCCAAAAGTGCATAACCCATTTCTTTCAGATTAGATTCAATCAAACAAACTCAAATTGAGGGACATTCTAAAAAACAAATGGCCTCCTTAAAAGTGTCAGTGTCATGAGAGACAAAGAAAAGTTGAGGAATTGTTTCAAATTAAAGAAGACTAAGAGAACTGACAACTAAAGGTAATGCAGAATCATGGACAGAATCCTAGATTAGAGGGAAAACTAATCGTGAACTACTGGCAAAGATTCTCTGCTTGACCAAAGTTTAGTCAGACTCCTCTGAGCCTGACTAGGCTCCATATTTGGGCATGTCCTCCAAGAGCTCCATTTTAACAAGAATCCTGCTAAGTCAGTTTAGCCACGATCCCCCAGCCTTGATGCCTGATCATCCTGACAGCTGACCACATTCCTCATTCCCTACTACCCTCCCCAGTCTGATCACCCTGACCTGCCTTCAGCAAGAATCCCACGGTTGATTTAGCCAGAATCCTCCCTACCACTGAGGTTTCCTCTTAGTAACTTGCCATCCACCAAGCCCTATCCCAACCCTGGGCTTCCTGGCTATAAATCCTACTTTTCCTTGTTATATTTAAAATTGAGCCCCGTTTTATTTTTAGTCTCTTCTCCCCTGTTGCAGTAGTTCCTGAGTAAAATCTGGTTTTGCTGCTTTAACTCCTGATAGTCTCTGGTTTGTCTGTGACAATACTATAAAGTACAATGGCAAAAGTTAAAAATTGAATGTATAACAGTATGATGAGAGTCTTTTATCAATACTGAATTTCATGAATTTGAGAATTGCACTGTAATTTTATAGAACAGAGGTTGGCTAACTTTCCCTTTAACAGGGCCAGGTAGCAAATATTTTAGGCATATTTTAGGCATAGAGGGCCACATACAGTCTTTGTTGCATATTCTTTATTTATGTTTTTGCTTTTTACAACCCTCTAAAAATGTAAAAGCCATTTTTAGCTAAAGAGCTGTATTAAAGCAGACTAAGGGCTGAATTTGGTCCACAAGCCAGACTGCCAGCCTCTGACACAGAAACTGTCCTGCTCTTAGGAAATACGAAATGAAGTAACCTACCTTTCTAAGATTCAGCAAAAATAATAATAACGGTAACATGTGAGAGACCAATAAAACACACGGCAAAATGTTCACACTGGGTAAATCCAGGTGAAAGGGGAAGAGGGTTCACAGTACTACGTTTGCAACTATTCTTTAAATTTGAATTTTTTTCAAAAGAAAAGGTTAATATTTAAAAAAGCAATAGGTGTCCCTGGGGGTTTAAACCCAGAGGACTCAATGTGCGGGCCTGGGGCATGGTTCTGGTGGCTCACACAGGAGAGTGAGAACCCTCACAAAGCCAAGGGTATCCTGTTGTCAAGGTCATCTCAATACATACCCATGAGTCCAAAGGTATCTAGATTCTCCTGTCATCACCAGCAAACTCCGACGAGGCAACATGACTGGCACTGTGACCCCATCTGGATGTTTAAAATCCATGACGATCTTGAAGTAAAGGCAAAAGCATAAAGATTAATCCAGAGTACCATGCACTCCAAGGATAAGAATGATTCAGTGATCCTGGCTGTCTTTCTAGGCTAACAGAGATTCAAACATGACATTGCTTATGGAATAGCATGGAAGTGTGGGTCTCAAACTTTGGTGCACACAAAAATCAACCAAATGACTGACAAACATACTTTATCCATAGAGAGACTCAGCAGGTCTAGGGTGAGAGGCTCAGGAATCTGCACTTCTAGCAAGTACCCCAGGAAATTGTGATGCAGGTGGTCTGAGGATCCTACATACTCCACAGAACACTAGGGCAGTGGGACAAATGCAAGGACTGTGGCGCTCAAACATTCACATCCTGGCTCTTCCGTTTACTAGCCGTATGACCTAGGGGACAAGCAAGCCACTTAAGCCTCTGTGCCTGTTTTTAATAAAATAAACATATAATGGCATAAATCACAGTATCTGGCACACAGTAAATACAAAAATTAGTGGCTATTGTTATTAATAGGATTATAATAATTAATTAATAATCCAAGGAGAAATAATTATTAGATGCAGATCTTCATATAATCCACTTTGCCTTTAAAGTCACCTATTTTGGATGTTAGAGGCTAATTTACAAGAGAATCAGATAACACGAGAACATTTTAGTTACTCTTCCCAAGCTGTGCTCAAATATTATTATGAATAGCAACCTACAATACCTAAGAAAATGTTTCTGTTCTCAGGAACCCAAACACCAAAAGAATTCAGTCTAAACATAGCAGCAGCTGACAAATGTGAATTTAAAATGCATGCCACAGGGCTTAAAAATATGTTTTTAAGTGAACAAATCAATCCATTTGAAAAATAAATATGACAACCAAGTATCAGTGGGATGAAGAGAATGTAGCACAGTCTCTTTACTAAAGGTAAACATAGTACGGTACCTGGCACAAAGTAAGCATTCAGGGACTGTCGGCTACTATTAATAATAACCAAATTAGATGGTACACATGAATAGTTTTGGAAACTATAAAGAATTATACAGGTCTGAGCTGGTTTATACTTTTCTCATCTGACCTTCCAATCTAAATATTGAAACTAACATAAGATGATAGAATTTAATTTTCCAACAATTATCTGTTCTAAATGACCACATATAATTTCAAATAGTCTTACTTTCAAAAGCATTCTATTTATAGACATTGTAGATGAATTCCGAACTTCTGGGGGTAAGTATACTGATGCCTGTGACTTCTCCCCAAAATGTACAAATGAAAGAAGAGATGGACAGATATTCTATAAAGCATATATGTTAAATGAGGTGGTAGGTATACAGGTATTTACAGTACAAGTCTTTTGACTTTTCTGTATGAAAATTTTCATAATAAAATGTTGGGAATAAAAACCCATTGTGGCCATTTTTCAACCATATATATAGGTCTCAATTTTCTGAATAGATGCTAAGGCCTACACATAGGAAAGAATAACGAGCACATTCATTAAATATTTTTATTAAGGACAATCATCTGTGGCTTAAAGGAATGAAAACTGTTGATGAGAAAATATTCTGAAAGACTAGACTCCAATTCATTCATTAGACAAATAGGATATATTAATCACTGTGTGGGGCATCAAAGGCTGCAATGGTGAGTAAGAGACATGTTCTCTGACCACCTAGGGGTTACCGTTTCTGGCTAATTAATAGTCAACATGTTTTACAAATACACAATACTTATATATTTGTGAAATTCATATACATTCTCTCCAATCAACAAAGAGTAATGATTTCAAAATAGGGAAATCTCAGTTTCAACAAAATGATTAGAACTGGTAAGAGAAGTGAGGACATGACACTAATTCCTTTGGAAACACTTTACTTACTGTTTACCAGTTTACTATAAATGAGCATAATAAAGGATAAAACAGACATCCAGATGGAACAGGAGGACAGGGCAAGGTAGGTGGGAAGGAGCTCACAGCTTCCACGCCCTCTCCGCGCGCACTGCTCTCCCAGCACCGCCATGTGCTCACCAACCTGGAAGCTCCCCAAACCCCCTGCCACTGGGATTTTTACGGAGGCTTCATCACGTAGGCAGGGTCAATTACTAACTCCACTTCCAGCCCCTCTTCCCTCTCTGAAAAATGAGGGGCAGGGCTGAAAATTCCAAGCTTCTAATCACTGCTTGAGCTTTCTGGTGATCAGCCCCCATCAAGAAGCCCAACAAGAGTCATCTCATTACAAAAAAACACATTGCTATCACCCAGGAAATTCAAAGGGATTAGGAACTCTGTGCTAGGAACTGGAGTGCAAGACAAAAATATTGTAACAGAAGAAGCTCCTAATGTCTTATCACTTAGGAAACCATAGGGTTTTAGGAGTTCTGTGCCAAGAACCTGGGGCAGGGACCAATATATATTTTTTCTATTATCTCACAGCTATATAATGTGAGATTATAAATTTTTAATTTAGAAAATAATTTTTATTTATGAAATTAAATGTGCATTTTCTATGAAAACTTTCTTAAAACATTCCACCACAAAAATGAAATATTATCAGTATCATACTTAAAGTACCTATATCTTAACTAAATAATGCTTGTTAAAAGACATACAAAAAACAACTTTTTAAAAAAATTCACTAAAGATTCACAGCCAGTAATGCTCCCTGCAACTGCTGAATCATTCTACCACGTGACAGCTTTGCTCCACAGGAGTTTTTTCCAATTATTCTTTTTGGTTTTACCTATTTTCTTTATTTTCTGAGGTGGCAGAGTCAATAAAGATCAAGTTTCCAGAAAGCTCATGGGGCATGACTGAGGATAATATTCAGTTCAGAGCAAACAACCATAAAGCCTTAGACATTCTGATCTTATAAAACCTTTACACATCCAAAATACAACAGAATAAAAACCCCAGGCACAGCTATCACTCTATCACGCAAGTAAAGATAAGATTCATAACAAACAAGTACATGAGGGAATGAAAGAGATCTCTGTGCTGGATGAACAGGACATCGAAGAAGACATTGGTGCTAGGAACACTTCTGAAAAAGAAGACAAACTTAATCCCGACCCTTTATGGTTAGAAACAGGCCAACATCTTTAACCTTTTGAAATTCTGAAGCGTATATAGGCAAGAGACAGTGTAATGTGAAGAATGACACGTGATTCATAGAGAATGATGAAAGCTGAGACGACAGAAGGGACTATATGTGGAAAACATTTCACAGCTAAGAATTTAGCAGAACAGATAGACATCAGCTTGCTTCCCACAGCCTGACAAATATAAATCCTCTGTATTTGCACTAATGTTTTCACTGGACTCAAATGAAATGAGTTTATTTTAAAAAGCAAACCAGTGATTCCACATGCCTCATCATAGCCTCGCCTAACACGTTTGAACAAGTGGGAAAAGAGAGAAGGAATCACATTTGCAAGGACACAAGAGTGAAGCTACAAGGAAGAAATAGAGCAATGTCAAAAATGTCTGTTTACATACTTTCTCTGGGCTTACAAATGTGGAAGCCCACCAGATTATGAGATAATTAGTTCATTGTGGGGGAGAAGAGGAACTTTTAACATTTTCAGTAAAACTTGTACAGTTTTCTGTCTCTCTACAAAAGATGATACTCCTAGAAGCACACTTTGCTAAGCTGACAAGTAGCTGAAAGAGAAGTTTGCTGGTATGCCAGATTTTTCCAAGACATTGGAATTAATACAGATTTTGCCTAGGACACCTTGGAGACCAATGGCTAATGTCAGTGACCTTTAAATCTTCTATCTATGCCATATAAGCCTGCTTAGTTCCCTTCCTTGAAGAAAAGCGAAAATCAAAAACCACACAAACCCACTTCCCTTCTCTCACTCCTACTAGCAAAGTATGTTTTAAAACAACAAAAACGAGTCTTGAATCCATTTGTTAAATTTCTTGAAAATGGAATCTTGTGAAACTCAAAGAAAGGAGACTAAGGCAGCAACACACCCTGAAATCAACATCCAGGACACATACCTCCCATTTGAAAATGACAAGCTCTGCTCCCTTGTCCTGCAGTGAGAAGCAATTTTATAAAGTATAGGCCTCAATATTCTTGTCAGGAAGGGGGAAAAAATCTCACATTAGAACATGAAGATGAGATGGTACCTTATGATACAAAGAATGGTCCAGCAAGTAGTAATATGCACCAGCTAAATACCAGTGTAGCCAAAAGGAACTTATTTCTCATTGCTTCTGAGAGAGGATGTGAGAAGCAGAGCACTATTTCGTGTTTCTGGTGCGCCAACTTTCCTAGTTGATCAGGTACCATGCACACATTTAGGGCATACCTGGGAACTTGTCTATAGTACTGCATATGTGAATAAAGCAAAATTAGATTAGGCTAAAATGTTAAAGAAAACACCACAAACAAATCTACTTTAATGCATGCCAGCAAATTCTACCTTTCGAGCACAACTCTGCCTAACAAAACCAGGTCCCAGCTGCAGAATGAACAGATCCATCATCCATTGTGCCCCAAAGAGAGATGATTTTCAACTGTTTCATCTGGCTGAGCCCAAGTAAAATGTAAAATAAAAAGAGAAGGCATCTTTTACTTTGTCTAAACACATTGCCAAATGGCACAATAGAGAGCAAAATAAATATTGCATAACAGAAAAGTAAGCTTGTAAAGAAAAGATGCTAAATTGGAGACACTTTAGCCATCACTGAATATTCAATATTCAAGATGTATAATGCCAAGCTTAAATAAATGCCTATGAGATAATACAATCATGCTTATGTGTTTGCACTGAGAAAATTGCTATCAGCTCTCATTTACCACAATGTAGTTTCATTTGTTTTCAGGATCTGTGATGGAATCCACCACCTTTCAAAAATGGACTCCCAAAAGAAGAGTCAATCACAAACCACTTTTGTAAAATTAAGTTTTACTTTGTGTATGATAAGGCTATAGAGGTAATGAAATATATTAGCTTAAATTTTTTTTTTTAGATTTAATTCTTACTTACTTG